TTCAAACTGCTGACATTTCAGTTGGCAGCCGAGTGCTTAACCACTGGGCCACCAGGGCTCTTCCTAATGCACATAACCCCACTGCCATCGAGTCAATTCCCACTCACAATGACCCTACAGGACAGAGTAGAACTGCCCTATAGAGCTTCCAAGGAGCAGCTGGTGGATTTGAACTGCTGACCTTTTGGTTACCAGCCATAGCTCTCAACCACTGCGCCCCCAGGGTTTCCTCCTAACTCACACAGGGACATCTTAATTTTGGTCCTTTCACCCTCAATTACCATAATAAACTACAGTACAGAACTCAAGCTCAACAGAGGAATGAGGTACCAATAGGCCTATCAGGTCATTTGTATGATTTATATTTTTTTGAAAAGGGTAAGCTCCCCTGAAACATCCAACTTTATCATTAGAGTATTTTTTAAAATTTTCTTTAGTAACAAATGCTTTCTGAAACGTATTACAAGTGAACAAATAACAAAATTGACCAATGTTGTAAGCCTTTTACAGTTATCTGAACATGAAGAATAAGGTCTAATCAAATACATGCATATTATGTCAGCCTTTTCCTGTACTCATCTGGAGGTGGAGGAGAGGGGGATAAAGGGGGGCATTTGCCCCCAGGTGCAAGTACAAGGGGGTGCCAGACGAGGCTGACCAGCCAGCAACCACCCTTCCCCTTGTCGAGGAGGTGGGGGTGGGTGCAAACTTAGAGACCACCCCCGGGCACTCGTTACCCTTGCTAAGCCTCTGCACCTATCTCCTCTTGTCGGTTCAGAACCATATCTTCTAATCGCTCTTTCTGTCTTCTAGCTATGTTTTATCAACATCTGCAAGTTTAATAAATGGAGCATTGATATTTCGAGGCTGAGAGTCAACGAATCAGAACAACAGTATTAGAAAAGAAAAGAAAAACAACAACAAAATGTTAATTTAAGCCTCATATATTTTTGGTTATACCACTAAGTATCATTTCCAATTCAGAAATAATTTTAAAAATATCCCTTTAAAATATACATTTAGAACTACCCAATTATACAAAGCTTGCTACTTGGCTATTCAGATTTTTGGGGTGGGGGGGGTACAGGGTGAACGGAATTTACAAAATTAAAATGAATTTTTTTAAAAACCAAAAGAAACATTTATGTGCATTTCTAACTGAGGCAGCCAACTTGCCTTTACAGTCTGCTGATAAACAGATTTTTAAACATTGTATATAAAATTAAATAACATGAAAAAATAAATATGCTTTATTACATAAACAGAAAACTGTACTGCTCAAAATATTCAAATAATACTAGGCTTCGCTGCTTACAATGGCGCTTAGAGACTATGGAAGTGATATTTACAATCTTATTTGTTTCTGGAGACAGAGGCAGGGAGGTGATAAATACTGATGTCAGGCATTTTCTCCTACTACCTACAGAAGCTGCAAACTTGAACATGATAATGAGGTAGACCAACTCCCATAAGCTGGCCAGGCAGCAACATAAGCAGAGTTCCTCCATGAGCTCAGAAATCCTCATCACGCGGGTTGACAAGCATGACTCCAAAGCGCCTAAGGCGAGGCTCAGAGAAGACCGCCAGGTTGGTCATGAAAAACTCAAGCAACGTCTCCAAGGAGAATCCCAGCCTCCAAGCTGACTAGCAAGCAGCTACACAGGAGTAACACGCAATGGAAGGCTACGGAACCATCTCGGATCCATGACATCACCCAGCAGAATTTGTTACTTGAATTATCTGGATGCATTAGCTCACTCTTTCCAATGCATCCCTCCAGTCATGGACCGGGGCATCACCACTGTCTGTACCTGGGATGGGCTGCAGGCACTGAACGAAAGGCACATGGGTTTAAGAGCCTTATTTCAAAAGTAAACATCCCCTGAAGTCTTCTTAAAACCAAACAATAGTTGAGCTTAACTAGCAAAAAAAGTCTGCCTTGAGCACTGTGACCTTTTAAGAACGACTGATATGGGATCAAATTGACAACAGCAACTCCAAAGATTAGATAGGAACCTTAGGGGCAGTGAGTTTAAGTTAATGGGGGAGGAACAACTCGGAAAAGGAGGCTGAGAATGGTTGCACAAACTCGAAGCATGTAATCAATGTCACTGATTGTACATTCTCAAGAACAACAACAAAATAAATAAAATGTTAAAAAAGTAAAACATTACCAAACAGACACATTAAAAAGACGACGGGAGAGGATGAACAGGAAGATGCTTTTCACGATCATGACTGGATATCTGCAACGAGTCAAGCCAGAATCAAGGGTCTGGAACAGGTCCTGGACCCTAAGCTCACAGAAGCTTCCTTTTAGAGACTCAGGAGGCTATACTTAGCAGCTATTCGGAGTTTCTTTTCCAAATACCGCTCTCCAGTAACAAATGTTGAACTAGGCTATCTGCACTTTGACCTTGGTGAAGGCCTGCTCAACAGCGAGGTTGCTTTTGCACGCTATCCACCGTGTGGGAGAGCTTAGGGAGAGAAAGCACTAAACGCTACCCTTGGTCTCTTCACAAATCTATTTTGCTTTCTGTTGAGAGCAACATGTTAGCACCTCACATACCATTTTTCTTTTTTGTTAATTTCACCGTCAGTTAAAATGACGAAGCACCATAGAAGGGGTTTTATGGCTGTTAACCCAATTCACTGAGGTATGCTTACACTCAGAATTACTAAGAGGCTGCCCTACAATCCACAGAAATCAACATAAAATTAAAATCAAAATCCACCAATAAGGATTTGAAAGACTGCCCTATCATACATACATTTAGGATAAGTAGATATTAAAAATGTAGCTATTTAAACAAAATGCTTTTGATTTAGATTTTTTAAAAAATCAGAATTTAAAAACATTGCAGAAGTGGCCTTGCTCCTAGACTGCAGAGGCATTTAAATATCTATTCAAATAAGATCACTTTACAAAGGAAGCATTAAAGTTACACAGGAAGCAAAAATATTTATTTGCCTCACATGGATTTTTAAATATTTTTGCTTTCTATGTGATTTTGGCAGAACATTAGAATTTTACTCTCGTGTTTCAGAAAACTGTGTGCCAGCCCCAAGAAGAACAACGAAATTAAATAAAGTCTTCAGTTAAAATAAGAGGTGGTTCACATTTTTAAATTTAAGCATTTAACCGAAACTAACCCGTTGCCCTGGAGTCAGTTCTGACTCAGCGACCCTATAGGACAGAGTACAACTGCCCCATAGGGTTTCCAAGGCTGTAATCTTTATGGAAGTAGACTGCTACGTCTTTTCTCCTGTGGAGCAGTTGGTGGGTCTGAATCACTGACCTTTTGGTTAGTAGCCAAGCATTTAACTACTGCCCTACCAGGGCTCCTTTTAACTGAAACTACTCTTCTGAAAATATCTGTGGGGGAGGGCGGTGATCCTGTGTAAAAAATTCGAGCTGTATTTAAAAGTGTTCAAGCAAGAGAATGCTGTGGAGAGATAAACACCCATCCTCCGAGTACAGCATTTTATAATTCTCTAAGACTATGTTTTCTTCCCGTTTTCCCAAAGAATCCTTCCAAGAGAGAAAAATATGGAATGATCAATGGCATTAGAGTCTGGAAAAGTGAAATGTGGATTTCTTTTTTTACCAAACTCCAGGAGTATGCAATTGAAGAAGCTTGTCTCTGAGGCTTTTAAGAACAGGGTGAAAATATAATTAGCTCAAGTGGAAAAATTACATGAAAAATAGTATGTAATAGGTGACCCAGGGAATTTCAGAGGATATTCCTAACATCGTAAGGCTATTTCTGATCTTCCTCCAAATGTTCATTTTTTGGGGGTATGTGTGCATGTCAGTATTGCAGACAAAATATTCCTGGTGAACTATACATCTAATTCAAAGCGGCATTTCTTAAGCTCTTGAATGAAATCCTTACAGCCCAGCTAAACAGTGCCAGTCGAGATAATACTGTAAATCTGTCTAGATTTCTACTAACACAAAGTGCAGGGGTTATGTAGCCAGTGTTATACCTGCAGAGACAATCTCAAACATTAAAAGCCTTGACTCTTAGAAGCTACAACAGCTATCAGCCATATTCCTTCAGTTAATATGCTCTGAAGCTAGTTTCATAAATGGTTAAGGCTTTTTCCCAGAAACATACTGAATAAAAAAGGCTTCTGGGTATGACTGATGGAATGCTAAATTCGGGTTCAGTGCAATTAATGTATTTACATGAACATTCACTCTGTTTACACAGAACGGCTCTAGTGGCACCAAGAGTTTATGCACAACTTAGCCGAAGGATTGTTTTGACACAGCCCGTCCTTGTGTTTGCCAAGAGCTGCCCTAGAAGTGTGCACAGTACTTGCGGTGGCAAACCTGTCTTGGAACATCAACCGCTAACGAAGCAGAGAGCAAAGGAAGCCAAGGACCAAGGCAAACAATAATCTCGGATGGACTTCCTGTCTTGGTAAAGGACAAAGAACATTTCAGACACCTTGAAAGGCATCAGGTCTGCGATTCCACTGTTGGCCATTTTCACAATGATGATTATGTTGAGAGCTGCACCCAAGTCATGCAGAAGCAAATCCTAAAGTCACTGAAGGGAAAACTACTCTGGCCTCAATATAAGCAGGCATCTTCCCCCAAAAAGTCAAAACCACCACAGCTTAGAAAAGGAAAGAACGTCCGCTATTGAGTCGTCAGCTGAAATCACTTCGAAGCTTAATAACTACATGAAGTTGTTATTTGGTGTCTTAAATATATACGTATAAGTTCCCCTACCCCCAGTGTTCTATGCAAGGAAGCTGCTTCCTGGCACCAGGCCATGTATGAGGTAATCTGAAAAGTCACTTCAGGCAAAGTTATAAAAAATTAATTCTGTTGTGCGTCAGTACGGAGAAAACACTAGAGCATTTCTAGCAGTTTCCGGGAGGCTCTTGTGAGTATTATCTGTTGCAGAGGAGTGTCCCAGAGTACCTGGGGATGGGTAAGCTAGTTAGGTGGCTGGCTTAGCAATCATGAACAGTTAGGGCCGTACCGAACTCCAAGGGCCAGTACTCCAGACGGCTTCTTGAGGACAAGCTTGTGTGTTACACTGCTCGCGATCTGGAGGTTTGTCAAGAATTTCACAGCTCAAATCTGGAAACTGTTCGCCACTGGGCCGCTGACAGACCACCAGTCTTGTTCGTATTCCTCCACCACACAGCTTGGAACACTAGAAGGAGGGAAACGGGGACTGCGATCATTTCGTCTGAGCGGTCATGATAAATTTTCTTTTCCCATAAGGAAAATCTCCTAGCCAAACTCTGTTACAGCACTGTGCAAGGTGAATCTCTTGGAAATAACCTAGCTGAATTATACATATATAGTTTAATATATACATTAAAAATAAAAAACAACTAATCGCCATCAAGTAGATTCCGGCTCCTGGAGACTCCGCGTGTGCAGAGTAGAAATGCACTCCCGCAGGGTTTTTGTGGCTGTGACCTTTTGGTAGCAAAGTGCTTAACCATCTGCGCCACGCAGGGACTCCAAGGTAACACATACTGCAGACAAACGCTCTCCTCCCTTAATAGTGGGTACTCTCCATCGAGTGCGTCCACTTCACCTGTGCCAAGTGCTTTCATATATATCATCCTATCAAGACAAGGTATAATTATTGCCCCCGTTTTAGACATATGGGGCAACTGAGGTTAAGAGAGATTAATTAACTGGATCAAGATCAATCCAATAGTTAAGTGGCTAGGATAAGATTAAGGAACACTGGTGGTGTAGTGGTTAAACTGCTCGGCTGCTAACCGAAAGGTCAGAGTTGGAACCCACCAGCCACCCCACAGGAGAAAGATGCAGCAGACCTGACCATCTGCTCCCGTAAATATTACAGCCTTGAAAACCCTATAGGGCAGTTGTACTGCGTCCTGTAGGGTCTCTATGAGTCAGAATCGACCTGAAGACAATTAATCTGGTTTTTGGTTTTAGGATAAGATTGTTGTTGTTGTTAGGTGGCTACAAGTCGATTTTCAACTCATAGTTAGCCCTGGTGGTGCAATGGTTAAGTGCTCAGCTGCTAACCAAAAAGTTGATGGTTCGAGCCCACCCATCAGCTCCATGGGAGAAAGACCTAGCAATCTGCTTCCATAAAGATTACAGCCTAGGAACCCCATGAGGCAGCTGTACTCTGTCACATATACGGTCGCTATGAGTCGGATTGACTTGACAGCACTTAACAACAAGGATAAGATTACAGCTTTTACTTATTTATTTTGAGGTATACGGAGACAAAAAACCTACTGAGGACCAGATAAAGGATATACTGCCTGAGCTGGTTTTATTTTCTGGCAACTTCTAAGAAGTTGCTGCCAAGCTTTGGCTATCCTCTGGCTCCAATCTGCACAAACCTGCAGGACGCTAAAATCTTTAACGCTATCTCCGTGTCGTAGGACAACTGTGACTTTCCCCTAGGATGAATAAACCACTTGGTGGGAACACTGGATGACAATTCTGACTCTTGGCTAGACCCAGACTTCCAAGGCAGGAACAAGCTGTATTTCTTGGACGGCACCACTGTGCTCACATCCAGGAACACTGAAATCTGGTTTTCCTGACGTGTCAAGGCCAGATCTCCCACAGAAGTTGGAATGCTCTGGTCTGTGGTGACGGCAAGCGTCCCAGCAAATTGGCGTGGGTCCAATTACAGAAGCTTAATCACGGCCCCACAGGACAGAACTTTTCAGAAGAGTTTTGGAAAACCCAGAATACACAAGTCTCAAAGCCTGACCCCTCCTCCTCCCTCCTCTTCAGCAGAGTCCTCCGGAATGACGTAATTGTCAACGTAACTCAACAGGAGTCCTCTGTTCCTACTGCCCACGACTACTGGGTTACGTGCACGAAATTGTGAAACTCAAGTGTGAATGCACGATTTCGGTCAGCCGAGAGTATGAACTGACAGGCCCATCAATCTCCTTTGTCCTTTCTGCCTCTTGGCAATGGGGCCTCCAAGATGTTAATCCTCATGTTTCATTTTATAAATATTACAGTTAAGACAAACAGAACAACTGAACACATTAAATATCTGCTCTCCCTGTGGATTCAAGAGTAGAGAGGGATTTCCTGGTTAAGTAAACACAAAACAATAAGCCTCTAAGCCCGACACATGACAGAGGCTCAAAGTACATTTAATAATAACAGTAATATTAATGATACTGACCATTATCATCAATAATAATTATTATCATTATAATAGCAGTTAACATTGAAGGCTATGTGCTAGGCATCTGACATGCTCTATCTCATATAATAGTCATGAATATTATTGATGTTGGCGTTACTATTATCCCCATTTACAGGTGAGGATATAGACATTGGACAAAGTCACATTATTTGCCAAGGTCACAAAATTGTCAGAGCCAGGGCCTGGAATGGGACCCAGTTTTGATGCTTCAAATACTCTATTGCCCTTTACGGGTTATAGGGTCACCTCTTAACATGGCAACAGCTGAAAAACGTCATTATCTCAGAATGTACAGATAATTATTCACTTCTGTGGTTAAAATGCAACATCTTTGATAGGAATAGTAATACCTCTTCTGGCTTCATCAGGGACTTGGAATGTTGGGAGACATTACGCCATGGGAACAGGGGTGTATCGCAAACCCCCCAAAACTGTGACAAAGACAGCCAGATCTACACGTACTCATTTAACACGTATTTCTAATCCCTTCAAAAGCGCCCATTTTTTAACCAGCAGAAGTGAACAAACAACTTAAGCCAGTGCTTATCTGCATTCTTTCCTGCCTTTCTTCTGCTACTGACTAAAACTGCCTCTAACTGGTAATAAACGCACTTTTAAAGAGTCCAAAATTAAGGCAGGGCTCCTAGTTAATCCCAAATCAAGAAGCTTTTACTAGCTCTTCTTCCTTAAAATGAAATATGAACGGCATCACAGTCTGGTCAGCAGAATTATTCTGCGTTGTTTCCCAAGGAAACACAAGTGGACGGTCCCCTCTTACCTCTCCCCAGCTGCCATGAGCCCACTGAGGACACGGGCCAGACTCACAGGCTCTCTGCTCGTCGGGTTTTATTCTTTCCACGCAGTCCGCCGCGGTGTATCCGTTCTCATCTTGACACACGACAACACGCCGCTGGGACCCACCAGCACAGGTACTGGAGCACTAAACACAATCAGCCAACAAGTTAACCCCTTCTCCAGCTCCTGCTGGTCGAAAGAGACCAACAAAAGTGACAGAAACTCTTCCCAGGTGGTCCAAAGTGGACAAAAAGCAATCCTGAGAACCCGAGAGCTTCCCTCCCCTGGGGTAGCTTCAGGTATGGGTCTTATAAACACCTGGAGGGCAGAAACGTGGCTTCTCTGTCAGGCACGGACCTCAGGAGGTGCTCAACAAACGCCTGCTGAGTGATGACGTCTTGTGATTTCCAAAGCGGTCATACTTATTGTCCTCCTTTGTCTCTGAACCTCTGAGAGACACCGAGGCGCAGGCTGACACCACACTGTATTTGGAAGATCTTTTCTTTTCAGAATTCTAAGTGCCTGTTTACAATCAGCATTTGCCTTCCTTTCCTCACAGGGGTCAAATGACACACTTATGAACGGCCAGGTGTCGAAATGAAGCTTCTTTATTAATGCATTCAGTTACCCGAGGAAGGCATCATGGAACAGCCTTCAGACATCCTTTCCTTGCAGGCCATATTCCCTTCTCTCCCTTCTCAATAGCCTACATGTCAAAGGCAATGGTAGCAGGGTTTGTTCTATTCTATGTTATTTTTTTACTTGCCCAATGAACCTAACTGAATTCCACATCGAGGAACCTCTCTTCGGACACGCCTTCAGCCTGACGCTCCCTCTCACGGTGGACACAGCTTTGTGTTTGCATTTCTGGTGGTTTCCCACACGAGCTTCTCATAGCTCTCTTATTTATCTACATCTGGAGTGTTTCTTTCTTCACATAATTTCCTTATCTTTTTTAAACCCAATGTGTTTGCTAATATACGCAAAACCCAGTTTGCGTATAAAACCACCACCTAGTCCTCAGAGCAATTCAATTCCCAGGAATTCTCAGGCCGCAAACTGCACAAGCAGCAGTGTTGTCTGTCCCAGGTTCTGAAGAACGCTGGGCTTTTTTTCTCATCCTGGTTCCCGTAAAACCCACTGCCGTCAAGTCCATTCCGACTCATAATGACCCCACAGGACAGAGTAGAACTGCCCCCACAGGGTTTCCAAGGAGCTGCTGGCGGATTTGAACCGCTGACCTTTTGGTTAGCAGTCGAGCTCTTAACTGCTGCGCCACCAGGCTCTAGATCAAACCAATGTTGTTTCAAAATACCATGAATGCTGCTTCTTGCTGGTAAGCTTCTTCCACATCAAGATGTGAATATATTTTGTTGCTTATTGCCTTGAACCTCTGTCCAACTTCCCTGACTACGCTGGTCAAATTATAAGTGATTATAAAGTCGGTAAGTGGAATACCTGGGCGGCAAAAATGGTTAATGCAGTTGGCTACTAACTGAAAGGCTGGAGGTTCTACTTTACTCAGAGGTGCCCCAGAAGAAAGGCCTGGTGGTCTACTTCCCAAAAATCAGCTATTAAAGACTCTATAGAGCACATTTCTACCCTGATGGGGTCACCATGAGTCAAGTCCACTCAATGGCAACTGGTACTGGTAGGTGGTATCCAGACTGTCATTTTGTATTGTTTAGTTTTTTAAATGCAGAGGAGGAGAATAGATTCATTAATTCTGTCTGAGAAAACATGTAGGTACTTTTCTATTTACAAAAATTCTTTCTCTATTTCCTGAAGAGTTCTGCTATATTTACTCTGAACCTGAGAAATATTCTTTTGTTACTTTTAGGTATCTTAGTATATAATAAAAGACACAAACAGCTGTGTTATTTTACTGTGCTTTGTCTGGGGACCAGAACTCAACATGTTAGGAAGGGCCTCAAACGTTGTAAAAAGATTTGTAATACATATTTTGGCCCTTGAATTTTCCCCTTAATATAATCTTGTATCATCTCTTTATTATTCCACCTGTGAGTTTTGTTGCCCCAATTTAAAGGAAGGAAAAAAAAAAAAGTAAGCTTTTTGAGCTCAATGTCTTAACTAACGTCTCTGCCCCTGTGTCTCCCAGCATGCTGATCACAGATCTGTCGTCTGGCCCAACCACAGTTCTTGGAAGGAATGTCTCTATAAGCCACATGCTACATTCCCTGGACCATGGTTGCCTGGATCAAGGGTGGACACCTGACCCAAGGCCAACCAATCACTGGCTGCCCAGTGACCAATCAGATGCTTTCCACTGAGGCTGAATCAAGAGATGGATACTGTGCTCAGCTGGGGTCAAGCCACCCAGCTGCACAGTCTTGAACTGTCTAAACCCAGGCCTGCCTGAGTCTTCGTACCCCCCATACAGGTGAAATATTACGTGGAATCTTTCCCCAGGTATGTTCCTGGCATCATTTACTAACAGGGATTCTTAGTTTCGTGCCCGTGTTGCTGAATTTCACTCTGGACTTCTTCTGTTAAGAATTTTCCTGTTCTCTTTAGATGACAACATTTTCCTTGGTAAATATTTCTTTGAACAGACTCTGCACCTAACGTGAATGCCATTTGTCATCCATGCTGGACATCACAGGGGAGAATGGCCGTTAGAGAAGCAGGGGCAGTGGACAATCATTTCTCTTACCTGCCCAATAGACCTCCCGGTACAATTGCCAGTATCAGCCCAATTTTCCCTCGAGGAGCTACTCCTCTCCAACAGATGCCATCCCCCTGGGACTGTTCTTCAAGATGCTCTGCCCTACCCTGGTCAAGGCGTGGACAAGGGGCCGAGCTGGGCCAATCAGGCTTCTCTGTGAATTTGAGCCCTGAGCATAGTTATTCAAAGATGGAGCAAAATTGGAAGGAATTCATTAGCGCAGAAACTCCCTAAATAAATCATCCTTTAGCTACTGCTCCATCTAGATGAGGGGTTGGCAAACCACAACCCAAGGCCAAAGCCAGCCTGCAGCCTGTTTTTATAAAGAAAGCAAGCTTTCCTGGAACACGGCTGCGCCCGTTTGTTTACCTACAGTGCTGTCTATGGCTGCTTGCCTGCTGCAGCAGCAGAGCTGAGTCGTTGCGACAGATGCTCTACGGCCCACAAAGCCGAAAATATTTACTGTCTGGCCCTTTGCAGGAGAAAAATGGCTGACTCTTGATCTAGATGCCTGGAGATGCTCTGGCCCCTGTCCTTTTTAGGACTAAATGAGCGGTTTTATTTGCTTTGGTTTGACGTGAAAAGGCAGTTTCTTTTGTTTATAACCAGAGACCCTTAATTGGTACACAGAGAAACTCGCACAGGGTTTAAGTTTACGTAGAAATCTACTGTAAAGTGATGTTCTTACTCCAGAATCCACAGTAAACTTTAGATCTCCCTTCTGTAGTTTTTGTAATTCTTTGCTGCCGTTTCTGCCACGGAGGCAGGAAAACCCGGTAGGGTGTGCAGCGCGTGCCCTGCACAAGGCAGAGGAAGCAAGCGGGGGGATGAGATGATGAGAGGCCTCAACAACTGGGCCGACGGTCCGCCTAGGACCAGCACTTTAGTGGGCGACAGTGCTTGGTGAATCAGTACCCACACGGAAGTCAATCTGATTTACTAAACTGCAACCACCGTGGGAAACAGACCGCTTCCTTCTAATGCTTTTTAGTCCAGAAATGATTGAACACATTTAGTAGTACCAGAAGGAGATGAATGGTCCACGGTTAAACATAAGACATCTGAGTGATGGGTGACCGCCCGCCGACCACACGCCCGCCCCGGTCCCTGACCGCCTCCCCCCTCCTGCGGTTCCGTTCAAGGTCCACACGCCCGCCCCGGTCCCCGACCGTCTCACCCCTCCTGCGGTTCCGGTATTGCATGTTGTATTATTTTTAGTAAAAAGTTTAAAACATTAAAAGCATATTGTTTGTCTTTGATAGTAAATATTTTTCAAGGTCTTATTAATTTGAAGGTAATGATAACGACAGCAATAAAGGTAATTGCTGACATTAAGTCCTGACTGTGTGTCAGGCAGAGTACACTGCACTTTACTTGCATCATCTAATTCCTACAATCACTAGGAAAGCTGGAGTTACTGTTATCCTCATTTTACAGATGGGGAAGCTGAGGCTCAAAGAGGCCAGAGGACCTGGGTAAGGCCCAAAAGATTCAAAGCCTAAGTACTTGGATCAAACCCCAGGCCTTCCCTCAGAGCCTGTCCTGACAACCGTGAGGTTATGGTGCCTGTGCGCTAGGCGCCCATCTTCCCTAGACTAGCACTCCCCCCCGAACCCAAGCCAATGATCCTCTACTACAAATTACACAGCGGGATCCTCTACTACAAATTATACAGCAGCCATGCCGCTGGAGCCTGCAAGCAGCTGGAAAATAGCAAGAATGAAAAGGACTTGCCTTAGCATTCCCTTCCAGAAAAGTTTCTCTGTCCACTTCATTTCCCTACAGATACGAGCTACCTGTGGCTTCCTGTGAGGCACCTGATCATATGTGACAGTAGTGACACCCCCGGCCCCTGAAGTCAGGGCAGTTCACAGGTACATGCAGACAGTGACACCCCCGGCCCCTGAAGTCAGGACAGTTCACAGGTGCAT